CTAGTAGCTTCTTGCTCCTAGTAGCGATGCCCTTTGCTCCTAGTAGCTTCTTGCTCCTAGTAGCGATACCAGGAGCCCCTGGTAGCGGTCTTGTTACTACTAGTAAGGCACTTGTTACTAGAAGCGATTCACTTGTTACTAGTAGCTTCTTGTTACTAGTAGTAAGGCCAGGAGCCCCTAGTAGCATCCTAGTAGCTAGGAGCGAACAATTTTGTCCACGAGCAATTAAGTAGGCAGGGCCACGGGCTAAGAAACATACAAAGTGAACGATGTGAGTTCCAAACGACGCTCCCCAAGGTAAAACAAAGAAACCCGTTTATGATATGTCTTTATTTATTCAAATTGTGTTATTTGTTAATTTATTCATTTTGAGTCACCAGTGCTGTGTTGGCTGAGATGGAACGAGAGAAAGACCTGAAGAATGCCGACGTAGTCCGACCCAAAGACTTGGAGGCAACGTTGGCGATCTTGAGACAAGATCAGAAGCTGGCCGACAGAGGGCAAAAAGCTTCGACAAATTAGTGGGTCTCTTCCTGTTTCAGCAAAGACACATATATTTTCTGAAGAAGCCACTTCTTGCACTGATTTGACATCCTTGTCCCACAAAAGAATAATTTTTTGAAGATACCTTTCGCCAAAGAAGAAGCTGACAGGAGATGGAAGCATTGAGGAAGGAGCGTGATCAGCTCATGATGCGTTTGCAACAGTTAGAGAAGGACGAGAAGGTGCGCCATGGGAGTTGCATTTAGTGGGAACATGTAGAAGAGACAACTCCGCATGGTTGATGCGATGCATGGTGCAGCGAAAGTTTGTTTTCTGAGGCAACAGTTTCCCTAAAAATCTAGGAACCAAATGAATAGACGCGTGAGCTATCCTGCGTCCTGTCGGTAGTAGCTAGTTAGTAAAGTAGTAGCTACCATTTGCTTAAACAAGCTACCTGTAGCTAGTAACTCCTACCTACGGCCTACCGCCCTGTAAAAAGGAGACTCGACGACCTCTTACATCCTTTTGCTACGGATAGCATGCCCTTTGCTCCTAGTAGCGTCCTTGTTCCTAGTATGGCCATGAGCGCCCCTAGTAGCGTCCTTTTGCTGCTAAGTAGCTTTTAAGGTTCAGATCTTTGGCGTCACTGCGAGTGGCTTCCCTTTAGTATTTTGTGTCACATTGGCACCGATAAGGCACTGATACATCTTTTTTTCTCGCATTCTTTAAACAATTGTCTCTACTTTTCTCTCCATTTATTCTGATAACTCTGTTTGGAATGTCCTAGTCCACGCATGCAATACCATCAATACGAATGTGTTGGTGACTGGGGATGAAAAACGAAAGCCAAGAGCTTAGCGTTTGAAAAGGCTTTGCAAAAGCGAGTATCCGTGAGCACGGTGAGCATTGTGCTGTGCATTTTGCATTATCCAGACCTTGGCCTTTGAGCGTATAGGCCTATGGCCGCGAGCTGGCAGAGTCCCAAAAGCGTGAGGCCGGCAGGAGTGGAGTTACGAAGACAAGCTAGTAGGATGGAGGCCATCGCTCTTAGGTTGGAGGCCATCACTATTAGGATGGAGGCCATCGCTCTCAGGTTGGAGGCCATCGGTAGTAGGTTGGAGGCCATCGCTAGTAGGATGGAGGCCATCGCTCTGAGGATGGAGGCCATTGCTCTTGGGATGGAGGCCATCGGTAGTAGGTTGGAGGCCATCGCTAGTAGGATGGAGGCCACCGCTAGTAGGTTGGAGGCCATCGCTATTAGGTTGGAGGCCATCGCTATTAGGATGGAGGCCATCGCTAGTGGGTTGGAGGCCATTGCGAGGAGGTTGGAGGCCATCGGTAGCCATCATTATTAGGTTGGAGGTTTTCGAAACAATCTTGCAGCCCAATTTCGATGAGACAAACGGCTTTGTTTCACACAGAGTGGCACGTTGATCTGTGCAACATCAAAGAACTCACAGGGATTTCAAGGATTCTTTAGATCTATTTTTCAGACAGAAGCCTTAAATTTATTACATTTCTTTTTCTTCTCTGCTTGCTCTTCAAGCACCCTCTGTCACCAGGCGGCCTTGCAGCAAGCCCTTGACAACTCCACTGAACAGATGGCCGAGCTCATCACCGCGCTGACCGAGCAACTTGCAGCTAAGTGAGACTACAGGGAAAAGGACAGAAAGGAAAGGAACATGAAAGCGAAATAAACACAAGAGAAGGTCAGAAGAAAAATAGACAGAAGAAAGAAAAGCAGAGAAAGACCAGAAAAAACAAACACAAATTGATTGAAGAAACTAACGAAAAAGAAAGGAGAAAAGACAGGTGAAACACAAACAAAGGACAAGTCCAGAAGAAGAGCGAACAAAAGGAGCTAGTGACGCAGTCGTTGAAGTCAAGACCTAAAGGAGACCTAGCCGCTAAGTAAGAGGAGGTAAGCTACCCTTCTCCAAAACTTGTTTAAATGCGTTCCTTGAAACAAGCCAACGAGTCTTGAGGTCGAGAGCGCGGGAAGCTGAGCTTCAGGCCGTACGATTTTCTGGGATATGACAACGGATGAGTAGTCTTTGTAAAAGGTATGAGTTAGTATGAGCAAAATTGGTATGAGTTGGCCCCTGGGTGGGCCTCTTTATTTGAGTGCTTCTGTAGAGAATTGTGGATTGCAGGGGGCTATTTGCAAAAGTCTGGGAACTATTTATAAAGCATGCAGAACTATTTATAGAAGGGTGGAAACTATTTGTAAGATTGTGAGGTGAATATTGAATATTTACATGAATCTACTGTCATTGACATGGTACTTTCAGTACTTTCCATTTCTGGAAGCATCGTGGGTGAATGACCCAGGGCTACTTATAGCATCCGTCTAATTCGCGTGTAACAAATGTAGTTTTACAATGTCTTACCACTTACTACCGGTTTGCTACACGTATGATATCCTGAACTTAGCTGTTGCAATTCAAGAGATAGTGTGTAGGCATATCCAGCCATGCCAGCCAAGATCAAACGCGTTCGAAAAAAAATCAAAAGAAGAATCAGAGTGAAGCGGTGTGAATTCATACCGTATGAGCAATACTCTCAAGATAGATGAATTAGCATCAATGGGCTAATAGCATCAGCTTGCACAGCTTCTGCAAATTTCAATAATCAGCCTGTTCGTTCACTGGCTTTGCAATACCCGATGCTCTCCTGCCAGGGCCAACTGTCAGCTGCCTTAGAACGAGAGCAGGCCCTTTCAGTCGACTTGCAGGCGAGCACAGCACACCTTCAGAAAGAAAGAAGAGTAAAGAAGGAAGAAAAGGAAAATGGAAAAGTCTTTTAAAACAGCAGCTAAGGAAAAACAAACAAAGAAAGAGAGAAAACATAAAGCCATGATGCATATTGCTTGAACATATTGCAAGGAGTCCCAGCAGCGGGAGCAGCAACTGACAAAAGAGCTGGAGGAGATGGAGTACGACGGAGTATCAAAGTTTTGCACTGCCCTCCAAACTAGTAGCGTCCTTGCTCCTAGTAGCGATGCCCTTTGCTCCTAGGAGCGTCCTTGCTCCTAGTAGCGATGCCAGGAGCCCCTAGTAGCGTGGCACTTGTTACTACTAGTAAGGCACTTGT